CCCCCCGCCCCCCTGCCATTCAGCTGAAGGATAGGTCACTGCCAGGTTGTCCCAAATAGCACGATGTTCCCTTGCCTGAGCAAGAAGAGGTAAAAAGCTCCTTGTCTGCTTGTGATGACATCTTTGAAACCGAACCTTTGTCTGCTCGGTCTGGCAAATTGATTTTCTGAAGGTCGCTGAAGTGGGAGATCGCCTGCTGCACCCGCTTCGTGGGGGAGAGGACATAGCCTTTAAATGCAGCAGCCCCTTCTCCAACCCCTGGTCCTCGAGGGAGGCTGACACCTCTGGTCCTTGGCTCAGCCTGGTTTTTCATGCTAGAGCATCCTCGTGTTCACCCGCCGGCATGCTCCCGCTCCCGCAACCCAGCCGCCGCGCGCCTGTTTCCCTCGGCAGCAATTTATCCCACGCTCGCTTTGCGGCCAGCTGGCACCATGGCATAACTCCCTGTAAACTCATGCCCTGGCTTAATGCACTGCAATTTTATTCCAATAACCATGTCCTTGAGGGTGCGTCTTCCTTGGAGTCAGAGGAGAACTGCCTGCAGCACCCCCGTTTTGCTTTCGGCTGGTTTTTGCAGCGGGGCTGCCCCATTGCCTGCCCCTGCTTCTCCTCTGCCGGGGCAGTGCCAGGCTGGTCCAGGCCAGCTCCGGGATTTCTGTGTAAGCTGCAAATGTGCTTGATGTGCGGTGTAAAGCGGGGAGTGAGTTCTGATTCGGGAAAGCACTGAGACAGCCTGAAGCCAGCAATGCTGGCGCCAGTATTGAGAGGCGAGTGCAGGGACCAGGATCCAGCGCAGCCTCCGAAGAGCAAACCCTCTCTGGCCAATTCTGCCCAACCATGGCAATTGCAATGAACTCACACCAGATTTCTGTCATTTGTGGCTCTGACTACAGTGCTATGTTACATCTCGGGCTTCGATGATGGCATTCTGATAATAATCTTCCTTCCACATCCTTGTTATTCTGAGTTCTACATGCTCCTGTGGTAGACTGCAATGGGATCAAGAGATCCCTTGGCTCAACCCAAGTTGCCTGCAGCAGACAGGGAGCAAATGTCTGCTGGAGGTCGGGAGCCAGGTCTGGCCTTGCTGGTTTATGTTTATTCAGCTTTGCTGGTGTGTAGCTTTGCAAACAGATCTCGGTCTGGTTTTTGCTCGCCAGCACACAAAGGATCGTCTCCTAAGCAGAATTAATAGAGAGATCATCTCTCGCTGTAAACAAACCCCGGTGTCCCTGGGGGTGATTGCACTTGACCCTTCTTCGGGTTCTGAGTTGTGGGGTTTGTTGGGGTTTTTTTCATTTCCATTCTCCTTCAGATTTCTAGGCTGAAACACAACCCTGGGGCTGCTGCCTTTATCTCCTTGGTCCTTGAGTGCCTTTCCTCAATCTGCAAGCACCTCGTTAATTTTAGTGCATGGCTTTGCAGCCCCAGTTGCTAGGCAGCAGATGTATATAAGCAGTTGAGAAACAAAAAGGACCTGTTCCAAACTTTAAATAAAGAGAAATATATTTTGCAGTGTTGAGGGTTTGGTTCCCCCCCCAAAAAAAAACCCCCCTTTCTTTTTATTTGGTGACCTGCTTTTGCCTTGCAAGAGGCGCACGCAGGACTTTATGCAATGTGGTTATTTTTGACAGTGCGTTCTCTGATTTAACTCGAGCCAGGTGTTGGTGCGGGGAAGGTGAGCAGGGGACTCCGTTTGATCGAGCGGCTAATTTGAAACTGCTGCCTGACCTCTCGGGTCCCTGCCCTGGGGACTTCTCTCTGAAGCAAGCGATGACTCCTCTTTGTCAGGCATAAAGCTCCTCTCCCGAGGGACTTCCTAAATAACGTTATCTCCAAAGCGTATTCTTCCATTGGTAATCCTCCCAGTTCCGTGTCCCCTTGTCCCCAGCCCTCCTCGCTCGTGAGTCTGCTCCTTTTCCTCCTCTGTGCCCTCCTTCCTTCCCAGGACCCTCCTCCAGCGCTTCCATCCTCTCCTCCGCAGGAGGACGTCGCCTCCTCTCTGCACATAGCATCCTCGGAGAAACACGGACTTTGACTTCTTCTGGGCTTCAGCCAGAGGGAACAGTCCCTTCTCCCATCAGTAGGGATTTTGGATGGTGTTTTTCTTGTATCCCTTTCCTTTGGCATTCCTATCGGTTTCAGTGGGATTTTCCTTATGAAGGAAAAGTGTTTCTGTGCTTTCTTTCAATGGCTTTTCCATGTCTCTCCCTGTTACAACCAAAGACTTTAAATTAAGTGTCCGTTACATGCCTAACAAGACACCGTTGGCCCATCCAGATCCCAAAGCTGATCGACCTTTCTTAAATTCTTCATCCCAGCCTGGAGTTTTGCATCCCATGTAGCAACCAGAGGAAAGATCCATTATCCTGTAGGCAAGAATTTAAGCCAGTGGGACAACCTGTGCCCTCCTGCCGCAGTGTGTAACTTCCCACAGCCCTGTGGGACAGACCCGGGCAGGGCCACACTGCCGAAACGTGCAGAGAAGCTTTGGAAGAGCCACCCCTGAGGAAGGGGAAACACAGCGAGGTCAGAAATGATGTGTGTGTTCCAAGTGGGTAGGGAGAGATGGGCTTCTGGTGCCGTGAAGAGATGCTGGGGCCACTCATGTGGCAAAGCCCCCCAGGATGGGGCTGTGGCCCATTGCCCACAGACCCCGCCACGTTTGGGCACCCCACCGACTTAAATGGGTGTCTCCAAACGGGGGTGAGGATGGATCTGAACTCACAGCAGGTTCTGGTGGTTTTCCTTAAATTAGGTATTTCACCTGGCTGTAAGAGGACTGATATTGTGTTAATCAAACATTCATTAAAAGCCTCCATTGCTGCTTAATGAAGGCATAATAAATAAAGATCCCATTATGCAGCTGCGGGGGAAAAAAAAAAAATCATGTTTTCAATAATTAGCTGGTGTTTCATTAGCACAATTATCACTTAGGAGCTGAAGCAAGCTCTGTTCGAAACACTTAATTTAAAGGTAAGGCTGTTCTCTCCGAAGGGCCTTGCTCCATTGGAGATCTTCCACCCCTTCCCTGTGCCGAGAGGCGCGGGTGCCCCAGCCCGGCTCCCCACCGTGGCCGCACGCTGCCCTTCTCCCCCTTCCCCTCTCCTTCCCTGCCTTTTCTCATGTGTTTTTTGATTCCCCTCTCAGTCCTGCCCCTTTCTTTTTATTTGGTGACCTGCTTTTGCCTTGCAAGAGGCGCACGCAGGACTTTATGCAATGTGGTTATTTTTGACAGTGCGTTCTCTGATTTAGTTTGGTGACCTGCTTTTGCCTTGCAAGAGGCGCACGCAGGACTTTATGCAATGTGGTTATTTTTGACAGTGCGTTCTCTGATTTAACTCGAGCCAGGTGTTGGTGCGGGGAAGGTGAGCAGGGGACTCCGTTTGATCGAGCGGCTAATTTGAAACTGCTGCCTGACCTCTCGGGTCCCTGCCCTGGGGACTTCTCTCTGAAGCAAGCGATGACTCCTCTTTGTCAGGCATAAAGCTCCTCTCCCGAGGGACTTCCTAAATAACGTTATCTCCAAAGCGTATTCTTCCATTGGTAATCCTCCCAGTTCCGTGTCCCCTTGTCCCCAGCTGTCCTCGCTCGTGAGTCTGCTCCTTTTCCTCCTCTGTGCCCTCCTTCCTTCCCAGGACCCTCCTCCAGCGCTTCCATCCTCTCCTCCGCAGGAGGACGTCGCCTCCTCTCTGCACATAGCATCCTCGGAGAAACACGGACTTTGACTTCTTCTGGGCTTCAGCCAGAGGGAACAGTCCCTTCTCCCATCAGTAGGGATTTTGGATGGTGTTTTTCTTGTATCCCTTTCCTTTGGCATTCCTATCGGTTTCAGTGGGATTTTCCTTATGAAGGAAAAGTGTTTCTGTGCTTTCTTTCAATGGCTTTTCCATGTCTCTCCCTGTTACAACCAAAGACTTTAAATTAAGTGTCCGTTACATGCCTAACAAGACACCGTTGGCCCATCCAGATCCCAAAGCTGATCGACCTTTCTTAAATTCTTCATCCCAGCCTGGAGTTTTGCATCCCATGTAGCAACCAGAGGAAAGATCCATTATCCTGTAGGCAAGAATTTAAGCCAGTGGGACAACCTGTGCCCTCCTGCCGCAGTGTGTAACTTCCCACAGCCCTGTGGGACAGGACCGGGCATGGCCACACTGCCGAAACGTGCAGAGAAGCTTTGGAAGAGCCACCCCTGAGGAAGGGGAAACACAGCGAGGTCAGAAATGATGTGTGTGTTCCAAGTGGGTAGGGAGAGATGGGCTTCTGGTGCCGTGAAGAGATGCTGGGGCCACTCATGTGGCAAAGCCCCCCAGGATGGGGCTGTGGCCCATTGCCCACAGACCCCGCCATGTTTGGGCACCCCACTGACTTAAATGGGTGTCTCCAAACAGGGGTGAGGATGGATCTGAACTCACAGCAGGTTCTGGTGGTTTTCCTTAAATTAGGTATTTCACCTGGCTGTAAGAGGACTGATATTGTGTTAATCAAACATTCATTAAAAGCCTCCATTGCTGCTTAATGAAGGCATAATAAATAAAGATCCCATTATGCAGCTGCGGGGGAAAAAAAAAAAATCATGTTTTCAATAATTAGCTGGTGTTTCATTAGCACAATTATCACTTAGGAGCTGAAGCAAGCTCTGTTCGAAACACTTAATTTAAAGGTAAGGCTGTTCTCTCCGAAGGGCCTTGCTCCATTGGAGATCTTCCACCCCTTCCCTGTGCCGAGAGGCGCGGGTGCCCCAGCCCGGCTCCCCACCGTGGCCGCACGCTGCCCTTCTCCCCCTTCCCCTCTCCTTCCCTGCCTTTTCTCATGTGTTTTTTGATTCCCCTCTCAGTCCTGCTGTTGAAACTGTGAAAATTGAACCCCTCCTTCCCCTTCCTCCCCTCTCCCTCCCCCCATTTCTCCTTCAGGAGATCTCCAAGCGAGAAGACGCGAGTGGGCAGTTAAGCTGTATTCAGCTGCCTGTCGACTCGTCGGGGGTATGTACACAGCACATCCCACCGCCCACCGTGGTTGTCTCTCTTGTGGTGCCTGGTCACACGCCGTGGTGCTGTTCTCATTGTAGTAGCTGTTGTTCTTTTGGGGGTCGTTTGGGTGTTTTGGGGTTTGTTTCTTTTTTTTTTTCCTCTTTTTTTTTTTTTCCTTTCTTTTTTGTCGTCCTCATCGTTGGGTCAGCCTTGATTTTAAGTCCCTTCCTTCTCTAGGGGAGCCAGGTAAATTAAGGTGGGTGCTTCGAGGCAGCTGATGTGGCTCCAGCTCTGGCTCTCTCCCACCCCTTTCTGGACGCCTGCCCTGGGGAAGGCTCCCTGTGGGGCTGTCACAGCCCCTCCACAGTGTGGCCACATCCCAGGGACCTCCCTGGGGATGCAGGCAGTGATGCCGATTTCTGGGCACGCCTGCCGAGCATTCCCTCCATCACGCAGGCGGAGGAGGGTGCCTGGGAGCGAAGGGACCTGGAATCAAGCCTGTTTGTGGGCACGCGTGGGGGGAGTCCTGTGCTGGGCAGGACTGGGCAGGACGGCGCCAGCCGCACTGTGCTGTGTCCCAGAAAGGCTGGTCAGGATGCTGGGATCTCCCGCGAGAGGCCACGTCACGGCACGGGTCAGGATGTGAAATGGTCCTGTTCAGGTCTGAGGAAGCTGTGGATCTCCAAAGTGCAGCACACTGCAAACCTTACTCTTCTGCCGACCTCATCTTTCTCTTTACCACTCCCTTCCCTTTCTGTCCTTTCTGAGAAGTCTGGCTTTTCCTTCAGCACAAAAGCCCTTTCCCGTTGTATCCCAGTGTGTCAGTCCCCTCCAGTACAGGCTGGTTTAGCCATTGTACAGTCTGGTCCATCTTGACGTACCCTCATTTCCCAAAATTTTAACTCCCTGTTCTCTCATAACCCCTTTTCTATCCAGAAAGGCAAACTGGGAGTGCAAGAACAGGTAACGGGCAGCAGCCCTGGCTGCAAGATGCTTGCCTGCACCGTTCTGAGTCTGGCACGTGGTGTTTTGGAGGGGATGCTTTCTGCCCTCCAGGTGTGGGGTTTGGTGCTGGGGAGGGGGGTGGGAAGTCCCTGCGTAGCTCTGCTTTTCTATCTTGGCACATATCTCACCCTGCACCCTAAAACTTTCCTCTGGGCTGTTAAAGAGCACTCCAGGAATAAAAAGCACAGAAAATTCTTCCCATTATTTATTCCCTTTTAATAACCCATTAGGGAGAATGAGTAATTCCTGGCAGGCCCCCTGAGCGGCGGAGCCGGGAGTCTCTGCAGGGAGCGTACCCGGAGCCAGCTGGAGCCCCTGTTCATACAGAGACACAGTTTTGCCTCCAGCGACGTTCAGGCCAGCCTGGCTTTACTGCTCCCCCTTGCAAGGTGCATTCCTGACCTTCCAAGTCTGTGTCCAACAGGATGAACTTCCCTGAATAGCACAGAAGTCCTGGATCCTCAGGAGGGGAAGTTTTGAGCCAACGCTTCACATCACACTCTCTTTTGCCTGAGAGTGCCCAGTCTGCCTGGAAAAAAAAAAACCTTAACCGCTTACTGACCCCATGGGGGAGTATTAGGGCTCATCCCTCTGGGGTTTTGCTTAACAAAGAGGCGCAGGGCACTGGACCTAGTGTCGGGTGCCATCTATTCCTCCTGTCCCATGCTGGGGCCCCTCTGGCTTTTTACAGTCACCAGGTACCCGAGCACCAAACCTCTGCAGCGCTGGCCAGGGCTCTTGGGGATGCAGTTCAGCCTTGGTGGGGTTTCCTGGGGCTCCTGGTCTCTCTCAGCTGAAGTGAGGGTCTGCTTGGCTTCTTTCATCCCAGCATCTGCCCTCCCTTCCCACCCCTCCTCCCTCCCGATGTACATCATGACGGGGCTTGGTGCCCTTTGCCAGAGCAGTGGTTTCAGCCGTGAATCCCCCTCTTTTGGATGGGCATCATTCTGGCAAGCACCATTGCCCGTCGGGTGTATCCTGACTATACCACACCCTAAGCGCCTTTCTGCAGTGCCAATGGACAGAATCGGTGGGGTGCGCAGGGACATCCCTAATCGGGCCTGTGCCACGAAACCGAGCGAGACCCCGGGCACCACGCATGTGAGCAATGGTAAACCTCTTCTCTCTCCTCCCGAGGATGGGCCCATGTCAGAGTGGGCAGCTCTCACTCAACCCCTGACGTTCAAAATGACATAGCGGAATTTAGATCCCCAAAATGATACAGCGTAAATCCCCCAAACTTCTGCTTCTGTTGTGTGTTGCAGCTGGGAGGGGAGCAGCCACCCAGGGCAGTTGTTATCCGCTTCTGCCACCTGGATCCCCTCTGCACTGATGGGACGTCCATCGACACGTGCCCATTAGCCGTGTGGGAAAGTCAGGGTCCCTCGGGCCCCTTCTGAATCCTGGATTGCTTCATCAAAGCATCACTAGAAAGAGCCACACACAGGGAATTTTAAGCCATAGTGTACAAATTAAGAGAGATGAGCAGGGTCAATTTTTGTCTCCAAATTGCTCATCAGATATCCGTCCTTCCCTCATATCTGCCCAGTATGCGATTCCAGCAGCAAAAATTAAGCAATGGTTTGTTTTTTTTTCTGGGACCGCGTTTGGAGCCAGAGGCAGTCTGTCTTCCTGGTAGGAGGTTAATTAGTCTGTGGTATAAATATGTGCATGCGTCATTTTGTGGAAGGTGATGTTGCATCGTGGTACGAAATTCAGTGGATCTGTAGGTGTGGTGTTGGAGACGGGAATCCGTTTTTTCAGAGGGGTGTCCGTGCACCGCAGCCCTTCGCCCTCCTTGCTGAAGCCCTCTGTTTTGCTCCAGGGTGATGCTTCCAAGTCTGATTCCGAGGGGGATCTCTTCCCCCGCAGCCTGGAAGAGGAGGGAGGACTTAAGAAAAACTTCTCGAATCCAGCCTGTGAGTAGCAACGCCGGGAGGACAGGCTTTTCTGCAGAAACCTTGCTTTGCTGTGAAAACAATTTGTCCCGAAGGGAAGAGCCTTCCTAGAGAGAATGGCGTAGTCTAAGCCATGGCATGCTTGACTGAGGCCAGCAGGCTTGTGGTGTGGGATTGGATTGTGGGATGCGGACAGAGACATGGTGGCATTTGGGCTGTAATCTACCTGCCGAGCCCGAGGTCTGGGCTTTCTGGGTCTCTCTGCAGGGACACAAGTGGAGGAGCCATGGGGAAGGAGGATGGAGGGAGCCCAGTATGGGCAGGAGGTTCCCAGGGTTGGAGCTGGCAGATGTTGGTTGGAGGGTTGAGGGGCAGCAGGTGACACTCTGCATCTGCTGTCCTCTCCCATGGGCACCTGATCCCATTCCTGATTTACATCACCCTGCCAGGCTGAAGGATGGGCTCTCAGCTCTCCAGAAGGGCTTTCTGGCCCCCATCCTCCTGATGCTTGGAGGAGAGCCATCCCTGTGCAGCTGCTTTGCCTGCCCGAGAGCGGGTTGTAGATGTGCCCCTTGAGGTGTGACACCTAAAACCCACTTGTGTCTTCCAGTGATGGCCCTGAGTGACCACCCGGAGCTGAAGAAGAGCCTGACCCCGCCGCTCATCATACACACCGCTGCCACACCAATGCCCATGCCCAAGAGCGCCATGTTTGGAGACGCAGCGCAGGGCTATGAGTCCCGCCGAGCCAGCGGCGTCTCCATGGACCCCGCCGCCTACGAGCTCAAGTCCCCGGTACTCGTGTTACCTCCTCCTGCCCATGCTTGGCGGGTGTCTGTTTGGCTTGTGGGGCTGTCTGTCCATCCATCCGCCCTAGCTGGTGCAGCAGCAGCCCGGCGTGGGGCGGGTGACACTGGGCTGATGCTCTCCCTGTCCCTGTCCTTCCTGCAGCCCAGCACCCGCAGCTCCCCGCACAGCCCCTGGAGCGCCAGCAGCAGCTGGAACAGCCGCCGCTCCAGCTGGAACAGCATCGGCCGGGCCCCCAGCCTCAAGCGTCGGGGTCAGAGCAGCGAGCGCAGATCCCTCCTCTCCGGAGAGGGGAAGGAGAGCTCGGAGGAAGGGGAGAGCTCAGACGAGGAGCGCTCCAGCCGGGCAGGCAGCTTCAATGGCTCTTTGCCTCATCGCATGGAGTCGCTGGAAACAAAAGGCTCCTTTGACCTCCAGGATACCCTGCAGGTGCCTTCCTTGTACCGGACCAGCAGCATGCACAGCAGCCGGACCTCTGCCTCTGAGCACCAGGACTGCAATGGGAAGACCTCTCCGGGTCTGCTGCTGCACCAGCTCCACCTGGATGACCCCCGACAGGACTGCGATGACTGCGATGATGAAGGCAACATGGTAAGGAAATGCTAAACACTCGTTTTGGGCTTTTTACCTTTTCAAAGTGATGCATGTACCTTTCTCAGGAGCACGCAGGTGGGTGGAAGCAATGGCCTGCTGCAGGGGCTGGGTCTCACCAGAAGGTCTCTGGGCTGTGGGTGCCACCAGAAATGGGGTTGGCATCACAGTAAGTATTTCAGTGCAGTATCAGATGGTTCAGGATGGAGACATCAGGGCAAAACTCCCCAGGTTCCACTAAAAGGTGCAGAGTGAAGGCTATCTCTTGGCAATATATGCTTTTCTGGTTTTATTTTTGTCTTTAAAAAAACCCCAAGTAACTTTAAAAAAATTTCCCTACTCTCCAACCGTTATTCATCTTTTGTCCCCATGCACAGCAGCAATTTCTGTTGACATCAACGGGCAAAGAAAGGGTAGGATTTGGCCCCCCATTCCCATGGCAATGTTGGTCTTGTAGAGACAGTGGCAATTTCAAAGGCTTTGCATTAATTTCAATATGAAGAGGCATTAGTCTAATAAGTGTCTCTTTTACGGGCCTGAGAAGTGCCATTTAGGAAACGTTAGCTAAAAGGGCTGCAAGTGCCGGGAAGGGATGAGGGTCCCTGGCTCCTTTTCCACGTGGATGTTTGTATCTTAAGGGAATAAAAGGAATTTGGCTACTTTTCCAAGGTTTTTTGCATGGGTGCCAAAGAGGGGCTTGAGTCGGGCAGCAGGATGCTCATGGGGACTGTCCCATCAGGATGTACTTGGGACAGTTTTGGGGGTCCTTAGGGTGTTTTCTGCCCTTCCTAGGTTACCTCTTTGTTTCACTTTACCTTGTTCTCAGGCTTAAAAATGCGGTGGTCTGATGTGTCATCCCCAGGGGGTAACTGTTTCTGTTGGTGAAGCAGATGGGGCTTGGGTAGAGCTGCATGATGGCAACTGGGCCGGTACTGAGAACGTAAAAGCTGCAGCTTGTAGACGTGATTTTACTGTATTTCACTGAGTTTGTTGAATGAAAATGGAATTTGGAGTGTGTGAAGGGATGCGAAAGGCAGCGGTGACTCCAGAGAAGGAACAGGAGGAGAAAGAGTTAGTGCTGGCAGAATGGACTCACTCAGCCGTGAATCGCCTTTAAAAAAAGCCATTATCCCATTACATCTCCAGCATGGATCCTCAGCCTGGGATTTTTACTGATTGTCTTAACCTGGTTTTTAACCTCCATAAAATAAATTGAATTTTTAAGAGAAGGAGCAGTAATTATTTTTGGAGAAAGTACTATTAAAAGTGATCAAGAGACCATGCTCTTTATTGCTAGCTAGGGATTTTTTTATTTTTTTTTTCCCTGCTCCAACATCTGCTGCTTTTTCCAGCTCACCTGGTCCAAACATCCCGCAGGTCCCTTCCTCTCCCCCCTGCAAGGTCAGAAGCCAGCAGCCCGCCTTGTGCTGGGCATCGTATGATGGGACATGTCCCTCCTCTCCTGTCCCACCCAGCCTTGTGCTGAGGTCTGGCCACATAGGATTAGACCAAAGGTCCCTCAGTCCTCTCCCACGGAGTGGTCAGGAGCAAACGCCTAGGG